TATTATAATGAATTGTTTAAATATTAAGTGTTCATGGGTTGAATTTTGACATACACATACATCAGTCAAGATCGAGAACTTCTTATCATCTCAGAAAATTCCTTATTACTCAAGCGATCCTCTTGTAATTCATTGCAACCAGTTCATTTCAGATGAAGCAATAACTTTTTTCATTCCTATCATCAAAGTATAGTAATATGCCAGGTATAGGAATATAAATTGAGAATACAGTTGTGAGCACAAAGTCCTTACCTTCAAGGAAATTACAGTTGGGTAAGGATACTAATCTATATTTATAAAAGCCTAAGCAACTGTCCGGCTCTCTGACCGGTAGCTATGATGCGCAATGACCACCAGGGGGCAGACGCTCAACGCAGGAGCTGCCGAGCTGCAATGACTTGGTAGCTGCGGTTCTCAGGTGATGTACCCGGAACCAAAGAAGAGGAAGCCCGATTCCGGGGTGCGTCACCTGAGAACTGCTCTCTCGCAATCCGGGACCCCTTGGGGGATGTCAGAGAGCCGGTTTCAACCCAATCCCCACAGGCCAGGCCGAGGAACCCCACTGGTGCATGAATCCGTGCACCGGGACTCTAGTGAATAAATTAGAACTTTATAACACAACTTGGGAAGTAAGAAAATAAAGTTTGAGTACAGGGTGCCATCCTGCCACCTTGATCTAATCCTGTTGGGGAAATGAAATCTAATCTGAGGTTGGTGATAAGTGTAATGAATCATGAAAGGAAGGGGAGATGCATATTCCAAGGATGTTAAGAAGCAAGAGAACAGGGAATATTGTATGACTAGAGAATAGAGAATAAGAATGACAAAAATGATACTAGGGTGTCAGGTAAAGGGCTGGAGAAAGACTTGAGTTTCCCATTGTAGGTCACTTAGGAGTAGCCTTAGATTTCAGACAAGGAATGATGCAAAATGACAATTCTTTGAACTCCTTCTAAACCTTAGCTAACATTCTTATTTTAGGAATTACTACCTAATTAATGGAACATAATTTTAGTGAATTATTGTTATTATTGTCATCATCATAATGCTAACTACCGCTTATTGAATGTTTCTACATATTTTATCTTGGGACACTCTTCATGTTTTTATTTGTGGTAGTGGTCCCCAAAGATAACGGTTTCCAAAGGTATGGCCATGTTCTAATCCTTGGAACCTGTGAATGGTACTTTGTGTGACAAAGACTTTGCAGACTTTTAACTCAACTGATTCAGTTAAAAATCATGAGATGATTCTGGATTATCTGAGCGGGCCCTAAATGGATTCACTAGTGTTCTTTCAAGTAATAGGCAGAGAAGATTATAAGCAGGCAGAAGAGGAGACACACAAAAGAGATGGCAATGTGGTGATGAACTGGAGTGACCCTGCCACAGGGTAAGGGATGCCAGCAGCCACCAGAACTCAGAAGAGGAATGAATTTTCCCCTAGAGCAGTGATTCTCAACCTTCCTAATGCCGCTACCCTTTAATACAGTTCCTCATGTTGTGGTGACCCCCAACCATAAAATTATTTTCGTTGCTACATAACTGTAATTTTGCTACTGTTCTGAATCGTAATGTAAATATCTGATATGCAGGATGTATTTAGGCGACCCTTGTGAAAGGATCGTTCGACCCCCAAAGGGGTCGAGACCCACATGTTGAGAACCGCTGCCCTAGAGCATCTATTGGGAACATGGCTCTGCTGACCCCTTAATTTTAGCCTAATGATCCTGGTCTCCCGAACTATAGAAAACATTTCTGTTTAAGCCACCAAGTTTGTGGTGATTTGTTACAGCAGCCATTAGAAACAGCCAATGCATTTGTTAGAGCACATTATGCACTTCCTATGTGCATGGACTCAGATGTTTTTTCCTTCTTTGGAAGTGCTTGGACTACCACTCCACGTTTGAAACAAGCTCATTCATCTGTGGTGATCAAGTCAAAAGCAACTTCTGCTGATGCCAGGGCAGGAGTTGAAGGCTCATCCTCTCCTTGGCTCGCTACTACAAGGCAGCCTCCCCACACCTTCCTCACCTGTTGCCTCAGGCCTGCTTCCTTTTTCTCTTTGTTCAGCTATCTTCTGCCAGATGCCTAGGTCATTCTTTTCATCTACTGTTTGCTGAAACCCAAAGCTTTTTCACTAAAATTAACCAGTTCACCCTAGTCAGATGGTACATGAGCCAATCCCTGGGAAAAGTACAGAAGAGAGGATTACAGAGAAATGGAGCCAGAGCCATCAGATTTAGTCAGTCCCTCTTCTTCTGGACTTAAAGCTATGAACTTATAATTTTCATTATCATTTGAGCTGGATTGAGAGGGGTTTTCTGGAATTTGCCACCATAGGCCACCTATAGGTTTGCTCCACTTCCCCTGCTCCTGCAAAAAAAGGAGGAAATACAAACAGGAAATGGCTTTAATGTTCTACTTTTAACTATGAGATTTGAAGCCTTATTATAAAAGCAATCTCATATTTTAGTAAGATTTTTCTTCTTTCAATCCTCATAGCAGTTATATTTTATACCCTCTCATGGTCTCTGACTTGCTTGCACTTCCACCCTGATAAGTGGCTGTCTTACAGTGGGGAGGGGAATGCCTTTTTTGTCTCCCCCCCCCCCCCAATTTTTATTTATTGATTTTGAGAGAGAGAGAGCTGGGGGGAAAGGAGAGCGAGAAACACGATTTGTTGTTTCACTTATGTATGCATTTGTTGGTTGATTCTTGTATGTGCCCTGACCTGGATTTGAATTCGCAACCTTGATGTATCTGGACAATGCTCTAATCAACTGAGCTACTGGGCATTGATTCTTGTATGTGCCCTGACCTGGATTGAACTCGCAACCTTGGTGTATCCGGACAATGCTCTAATCAACTGAGCTACTGGGCCAGGGCTTGTCTTTTCTTGTTCTGCCCATTTTTAACCTCTGCTTGATTATTTAGGATCTGACTATCCACAGAGATAAGATAGGTAGACTTTGATATTTACTTGGAGGTTCACAGGCTGAAGTTGAATGTCTGTAATCCAGTATTTTACCACAATGCTTTGTACCGATCAGGTGAATTTTGTCATATGTAGATAGCTTCACCCTCAGTAAGTTTTCTATTCTGCTTTTCTTCTCTGTGTATAATAGTTGGGAGTTGGGAAGAGCATTACCTCACCTCTTTGTGTTTTGTTTTGATGCTCTAGGTCAGGATGGCTTACTGGTTGGCTTCCCACATGGTGCCCTACGTCTACATCACACCTTAAAGAAGCTGAAGAGAAAATTTTAAAATGTAAGGCTTTCTCCTTATATGTTAACAGTTGTTTGCTAAAATAGGTCCAATATTCACATTGTCCTGAAACTTAAGATTTTGTGGTGTGTTATTTGTTTGGCAAAAGAATTTTTTTTTCTTTTTCATGTCATGAGCAAGTACCTAAATGTGGGGGGACAGGGGCTCCCAAACTTGTTGGTCTTGAGTGTCTGTTATATTCTTAAATTAGTAAGGACCCTAAGGAGCTTTGTTTATAGGTAATAGGTATCATTTAGTTAATTTATTAATTTATTTTAAATAATAGTAATTAACCTATACAGGCTAAAAGAAGTAACATATTTCTAAAAATAACTACTTTTCAAATAAAAATGTATTAAGAAGTGTAGCGTTGTTTACATGCTTGCAAATCTCTTTACTGTCTGACTTAATATAAGGCATCTGGATTCTCATATTTGCTTCTGCATTTAGACTGTTGGTAATCACATCTTTGGTGATCTCTGGAAAACTCCACTATGTACCCTCAAAGAATAAGAGTGAAAAGGCAAATATAAAATATTAATATTATTATGGAAATAGAGTTGACCTCGTAGATCACATAAGAGAGTCTTAGGGGTTCCACAGAGGACCCTAGACTATGCTTTGAGAATAGGCTGTAGCCAGTCCAGAGCAGATGTCTTGTAGAATGGAACAAGTTCTGGACCAGAACAAGGTAACCTGGTCTAGGCCTAGATCTGCAATCAGGTGGTTATAAGATCTTGGACAAGTCACTTTTCTCAGCTTCCTGATGTTTACCTATAAAACAAGGGGGTAGGAGGATCCTTAAAATTCCTTTCAGTTCTAGTATTCTGGGACTCTTTAATTCTACATTTATAATGGTGTGGAAACCTTTTTGTTTGTTTCTTTCTTATGGACACTGTAATTCACCCAAACTTGTACTGTCTAGGTCAGCGGTTCTCAACCTGTGGGTCGCAACCCCTTTGGCGGTTGAACGACCCTTTCACAGGGGTCGCCTAAGACCATCCTGCATATCAGATATTTACATTACGATTCATAACAGTAGCAACATTACAGTTATGAAGTAGCAATGAAAATAATTTTATGGTTGGGTCACAACATGAGGAACTGTATTTAAAGGGCCAGAAGGTTGAGAACCACTGGTCTAGGTGTTCCCAGGTATCTGTGGGTATACTTTTAAGCAATAGTGTTTATGGTATACCAGTAGTTCTGTTCTGCTGCTACAATTTAGAGGCGTGGATTAAGCGATGCAGTTCACATATATGATTGTTGTGTATGTATGTGCAGATATTTGTTGTGTGTGTCATGTATGTTTTTCATCCACTCTACACAAATAAATTTTCTTGTTTGTGCATTTGAATGATTAAGGAGTAAGTGACCATAACTGAATATAGCCATAGGAAGGGATGTCATGTATGTTTTTCATCCACTCTACCACAAATAAATTTTCTTGTTTGTGCATTTGAATGATTCAAGAGTAAGTGACCATAACTGAATATAGCCATAGGAAGGGACAGTTAGTCATCTTACATGGATTTTCAGCATGAAAATAAATTTCTACTCTATATGCTTGGGTAATCATCTTCTCTATAAAGCTGGGAAAGATGTCATTGTGGTTTACTAAAGAAATTCTTACAAACTGCTGAGCTCACATGTGGCGGGGCGGGGCTTCCCCTGTGCCTCCAGGTTACCTAGGTCCTCATCAACTCTGTGGAGTTCAACCTTGACTGTGTTCATGGCATTTATTATATCCAAAGTGGAGTGGTTGGCACTTCAAGGTGGCCGATACCTTGCATCTGGTTGCGGTGCCTAAAAGGCCAACTCATGGGTCTGAGCGTGATGAGAAATTTCTGAGGAAGATGTACCAGGTGCTGCTGAAGGTGGATGTGTTGGAGGGCAACCTGCAATGCCCAGAGTCTGCACATATGTTCCCATCGGCTTGGGATTCCCCAACATGCTGCTGACTGATGAGGAAAGCGAGACTTAACCATGCCAGGCATCAGTTTTCATTCTGTAACTGTGTGTATCTTAGTTTGTGTTTGTACTGTTTGCTAATTATATACCCAACCCTTGACCCAGTGACACACTAGACACAGTGAGTGTCCTTGAGTTTGGTATTGATTTTTCCTCATTAAAGGTTCAAAACAAACAGAAATTCTTGTCAGGAGATAAGAAAGGGTACTAGATGCCCAGCTCATGCATTTAACAAACATACTGATTTCCTACTGCTAAGTTCTAGGGATGCAAATAGGAGTGAGAATTGGCCCCTGGTCCAGTATCAGACATTAAAGCAAGTGACTAATGCAGGGAGTGAACTTGGCTCTCCACTGGTTGTCCACTGCAAGTGAATATCACAAACAAATAAGGGGACATCTAAAGTGTGTAGCCATTCAGTTGATAATTTAATGTAAATGAACTTCAGATTAGTTTCATCTTTAGTCTTTTTGGGGGATATTTAAAGTACTGTATTTAGTCTCACAGCATTGAAGGCAAGTAAGAATTTTTATCCACAAAATGATGATGATTTGCACTTTCCAGAGAGAATGTTGGACTTGAACTCACACTATTGTCACTTTATGCTGAGGAGTTCCTACCATAACATGTCACCTTTTTCCCTCTAAACTCTGAAATGACTTAAGATTTCAGTTATGTGTTTAAATACAGATACTGTTAATCCTTCCTTAAATTTATTATTTACTTTTTAGGGAAAAAGGTTTCTTTTGAGTCTGAACTTTAGTCTTCAATGCTTAATCATCAAGTGTTAGAAAAATTCAAGGTGGCATTCTTTTGTTTTGTTTGCAAGGATTGAGACCTCCAAATAATGGATTCAGTGAATATTGAGTTCCTCTCCATTTCTAAGGGTGTAGTACTCTCATTTGATGGATGTGGAAAGAAGGCTAAAGAACTACATGACTTGCCAAAAGACCTTGGCCACAGGAACTTGAGGCTTGTCTGAGATGGATTGTCCCACTTAGATGTAAAATATGATCGTTAAGAATTACTTGCTTCAGTGAAATGTATACTTTTTTTTTTTAGGGATGATATAATAAAGGCTAAGATCATATGAATGGCAACCAGATAATTTGTAGATTATTAATTTCTGATTGCTCTGAGAATACTTCCCTTCTCAGAGGTAGTGAAGTTAAGCAGAATTTTTCTTTTATGTTTTTTTTAGGTGTCCCCTGTATATATAAGAAAGAAGCTGTTCGTGTATCTAATGGAAATAAAATATGGACACTGAAGTTCTCTTACGATGTTCCAAATAAGACTCCACTTGTCCTTCTCCATGGTTTTGGAGGAGGTCTTGGACTCTGGGCACTGAACTATGAAGATCTTTGCACCGATAGACCCGTCTATGCTTTTGACCTGTTGGGCTTTGGACGAAGTAGTAGACCCATGTTTGATAATGATGCAGAAGAAGTGGAGAATCAGTTTGTGGAATCCATTGAAGAGTGGAGATGTGCCCTAGGACTGGACAAAATGATCTTGCTTGGACACAACCTGGGTGGGTTCTTGGCTGCTGCTTACTCACTGAAGTACCCGAAAAGGTAAGTGATGGTGACAGAAGAGAAGCACCTGTGCTAGTCTCTAGTTTCCATCTTTGGTGGTTGGTACCTGAGCCTTACAAGATAGATTCTCTTAAAGGACCCTAAACACATCACAACTAATGGCCAATTTAGTAGCTGAAGTAATGATGTCACATTTTCCTATTACACATGCTACATACACATTTATAGAAGCTTAAGAAGGGACTTTCTATTTGTTAAACTTAGAATATATACAGTTGAAGTCACAAATAAAAGTTGTTGTGGTATTGCTTTCTATTATTATCATTAGACTTATGGATCCAGCAGGTTTTTCCAGTTTGTAATAAGCTGTAATAGGAAACCAGAAAGTTAGAAATTAGAAAACCTAGTGCTATGTTTTGACTTAGAGCAAAATCACTTAACCTCTAAGCTTTAGTTTCCTCTAAACTACAGAAAGTATACCTACATAGTCTGTTTTACAGGGTTTTTTAATTATACTGTGCCCTAACATTTATTGTTATAGAATTATTTTTCTAGTCATTGAATTAATAAGTGTTTGCCTCAGAATCTTTGTAGCATCTCCTCTTTTCTCTACCTGATTTTCTTGTGTTATTTCCTATTATTTATGTTACTTCTCTGAGGAGAGGTCACGTTAGAGTGCTAAAAAAAATGGAAGAAAAGCTCATTTTTGTTTTGTTCATCTTTCGGAAAGAAACAAATAATAATCAGCATTTTTGGTTGCCAGTGTATTTTTCTATTGGAATAATTTTTAAATCCAAAATTGCAACCAACTGTGACATTGAGGTCTGTGAATGAGACATTGGGTGATGGTCATTTTCAGAGTGCATTTATGCACTGTGAGGCTGCCCATTGCATAACTCCATGTACACGTGGAGCAGCAGCCCGGTGTACCTGAAGTTTTCTTCCTCTGGAACAGCCAACTTTTCTCCACAGATTCTTTTTTCTTTTTTATTTTATTGGTTTTTTTTACAGAGAGGAAGGGGGAGGGATAGAGAGTTAGAAACATCGATGAGAGAGAAACATTGATCAGCTGCCTCCTGCACACTCCCTACTGGGTATGTGCCCGCAACCAAGGTACATGCCCTTGACCGGAATCGAACCTGGGGCCCTTGAGTCCGCAGGCCGATGCTCTATCCACTGAGCCAAACCGGTTAGGGCTACAGATTCTTTATTTAAACTTCATTTACACTTGACTTTTGTGGAGAGTTTACAGTCCTATGTGCTAGACAGTAATAGTTTTTTTCAACTGGCAGATCAGTTCTTTTAAAAAAAAATGAAATTTTCTTCGCCTCATTGGCTGTTTGGGATTACTGCCTTTGTGTCCTACTCTTGGTGACAAATGTTTGTCACTGAGAGAAGGAAGTGGAGACTTTTCTGGTATAAGACAACAGGGTATTTGTGGAGATTGGACTTCCTTTGTTTCGTAACAGATGTTTATGAGGTCACTCTTGTGGTATTTATCCCTTGGAGATGTGACATGGGTCTCTTGGGCCAGACTGGTTATGAAACCCCTGAGTCTTAGAATCCTGGCCCTTCATGGCTGTCTGCTATTTAAGTTAGGGAGATTTTCATTTGCAGTTGTGAAATGTTTAAAGAAATAAGGTGTTTCACATTGATTTAGAAGGGAATGATCACTTTAAAATTACCTATAAAAGAGGATAGCAACATATTTTGAATGACATGGTTGACAGAACAGGTATCTAAAACAAATCCAGTGATTCCAGTCTTGTACTGACTACATTTATAGAAATTGATTTTTGAATGTTTGTGCCTAATACTAGAAATAAAACTAAAGTATTAAAACTAAAGTGTCAGGACCAAGAACCACCAAATATTAGCAATAGATGAATATGAGAATGCTTGAAATAATTAGCATGTTTAAATTGGCTGATTGCTAACAAATATTGAGTGGAACTCTATAGAATGTGTTGAATAGTCAATCTTGAATTCTTAACTGCATAACTTAAATTATTCAATACAAGTTAATTTCAAAATAATGAGATTCTCTGGATTTTCAAATATCCCAAATCATTAATGAAATTCAGTTGAAACCCTTTGCTTGGCACATAGTGGGTGCCCAGTTTTAAATGAATGAAACAAGGAGGCCACTAGACTAATGCCATGGCCTGTGTAAGCAAACCAGAATCTAAGCCTGTAAATGTCTCAAGGTTATGAAATCAAAAACTAAGGACATTGAATCACAAACAGCCAGTCTTTCCTCTTGCTCAGTGGAGCATTCCTAACTATTACTGGTTTGGCACTGCCTGATTCAAATCGGTTTTTGCTCAAATAAACTCTTAAAATTTTTAATATGCTTCATTTTATCTTTTACCAGTATCAACTAAGCAAGTATGGAACTAGCTACTCTAGATGTCTCTTACCCAACTTTCAGGTATTTCTTATAAAGAAAAGGACACTAAGAAACTAACTTAGTGTTTAGCAAAGAAATCCATTCCAAGTTACAACAGAGTAGGTTACAACTGGTCTTTACTTCTTCACTAAGGTTTTCAGATCATCTGACCTTTTGACCTTGCCTGGCTCTGTCTTCGGACTCTGCAGAGGTGGGCTCAACATTTCTTCTCAGCCTTTCTTGAGAAGAAAGGTTGTTCTGCTTGATCTGAAGTTGGAGGTATTTAGTTTGTTGTGCTCTGGACCTGTCCCATTCTCCCCCCAGTGGCTTGGAGGCAATGGGAAATACCTGCCCCTAACTCGATCTGAGAATTGCTCATTTGTGCACTGACTAGAGTTCTTTCTGGTCCTTTTTTTCTTTTCCTTGTTTCGTAAGTAGGTCCTGCAGACTCCCTTGTGCATTTTGGTTCTTGGTCTGAATATTCTCCTTGTTATATTATATCTGGTTGGTGGCAGAACTTAAAATTCATGAAAGTCAGGTTATATACCTTTGATAGCACTGAGACTCAGCTGTCCCAAGGGGTTAGACTCAGCTGTCCCAAGCGGTTAGAGCTTGTGTGTTGTCCACCACTTTGCCCTTTATACTGCAGTCTTCCAACTCAGGACCTACTCTAATGACTAACCTGGAGAAGAGTGCCTCTTTATGTTTTGAAACTGATGGGCTATTGTCCTCTTGTTCCTGCTCTGCTGGTTCTTTGTTTTTCCTGTAGTTCAAATCAGTCTCTGATTCTTGACAAAGATGTCTGATAGGATGACTCACATGTGGTGTCTGGGTGGACCCATTCCTTAATCCTAGATGTGAACTAACAATCCCATCATGCTATCAGCTACAGAATATGAGAGGTTAGGATCTGGTTTACTATACTAATTTAGATATACTACATTAAAACCAAATAACTACTATCAAATGAGATGATCTCTTCATTAGAAAAGGAGGCGAGAAGATAGCCTAGGAACTTGGTCTACTGCAGGGTTATAATAACCTGTGAGACAAAACCTGTGGTCAGGCTTTCCTGGAGGATGAAAGTTAAATTACTCACTGCTCAGGTGGTTCTTGCCACTGTCTTCCCAGCTCCCTGGATTGAATTCTTCTCCAGTAGTCTTCCTATTTTTGCTACTGTAATTATCTAACATTTACTTTATATTTATTATTTGATAACTTTGTACAATCTATCTCATTTAAAAGCCTTACAATAAAAAATAAGGAACAATTATTTTCTGAGGTAGTGGAAGTAGATGATATATATAACTCCAGTTTAGACATTGTTGCAGAACTTTAAAAAAATGGTTTTCAAACTTTTTTTACTATAACTCTCAGTATGAATTATATGTGTATGTGTGTGTCTGAAACAGTTTTGTGGAATGATACGCTTACATATTTTTTTACTCCACATAATATAATTTTATTAAAAAACAATCAGACCAGACTGGCTCTGACTCTCTAAATGGATTTTACTGCCCACTAGTGAGTAATGACCTGCAAGATTAATATAAGAACTTATTGTGATGTTCTCATGTCATCTGGGGAACCAGGAAAATCCAGACTGGATAGCTCCTCTGCTTGTTACTTGATTATACTTTACAAAATTTGTATATCCTTATAGACAAGGACTGAAAGGAAATGTGGACAACACTACTCCAAATGTTTACTGATATCTATTATGTGCTAAACACTATACTAGGCTGATGATACAGGATCAGTTATTGGAGCAATTTATTCTCGTTTAAAAAAGGGGAGGGCATGTACTCTAGTATGTACACTTTGCATAATTTGTTAAGCTGGCATTCTTACCTGGGGATGATGTTTTGCAGATCCGTAGTAAACAGGCAAGCCAAAATTAAGGCAGAACCAAAAGAATCACTTAACTCGATTTTCCATCCCTCAAATTTTCCTTTGTCCTCCTCCTTCTTGGGTTAGCAGGTCCGTAAGTGTCTTGAGCAGACTGTGCAAGATCCTACAACAAATTTTAACAAAAGTTTAGTCATCTTTTAGGGTAATTTTTTTCTTTAAGAGGTAAGTCAATAGTGAATAATATCATTTTTTTCTTTTTTTTGTTTTGTTAATCCTTACCTGAGGCTATTTTCTCCATTGATTTTTAGAGAGAGTAGAAGGGAAGGGAAGAGACAGAGCGAGAGAAACATCGATTGGTTGCCTCTTGGGGATGGAGCCTGCAACCGAGGTATGTGCCCTTGACCGGAATCGAACCTGTGACCTTTCAGTCTGAGGGCCGACACTCTAACCACTGAGCCAAACTGGCTAGGGCAATAATACTATGTTTTAACATGAATCTTTGCCACTTTCAACTAGGTGGCTATTCCATAAATTCTACTCATACCTCTGACCTGTCCCCCTTCCTCAAATCTCAATGTGGGCTGTATGAGAGGAATTGAGGAGGAAGTCAAAATGTCAGCGATAGTCTCTGTCATTAAAACAAACTCATTCCCATCCCCCTTCCTTACACTATTATAAAATAATGGTCTCATAGAACTTTTATGAGTGAAGGCACTCAGAGTCTATAGAAATCTCTTGCATCACACATTTCCACACAGATTCATAGTTACATTCTACAAATCTTGGCGTTATGAAATCTAGAGTATAGTATTAGGACCAGCCTGGAGTTGATAAAAGTGAAGGGCTTTGCCTTTACTAATATCTTTCTTTTTTGTGGCTTAGCTTGTCCTGAGGAGAGAGCCTTCTGTCCAGTGGCTTGTTGGCATCTGTTAGTGTTCTGGAGTCAGGAAATGTGCGTTTTAATCCTTGTTCTACATTCACTAGCTTTATGTCCTGGAGCAGGTCACACAGTGCATCTCAGCTTCCTTCTCAAATCTGTGAGACAGAAGATTGGGTTGACTTCTCCAAGGGCCCTTGGAGCTCTGGGTCTGTGTGCTGAAACTTTCTGTTGGAGAAAATGCAGTCAGAACAAAGGACTCGTGTGCTGGCAAAAGAGAAAAACATTTAATATCAGGAATAATAGCCATCTTTACCTGGTGTGCTGGTTTCTTTACTTTTCTGTTTCATTTATGACTTAGGAAAGGGACTTTAGAATCATTGTCAATTCATCCCTGGGAGATTTTTGCTGGCATTTGTTGGCTGTTTTGTTTACAGTTGAATATCATCTGTGTCGGGAGGACCCTTATGCTCTGCTTAGATCTGCATGATTTACTATATAATATGATGCAGCCACTGGAAGAAAGTACTGCTGAGAGTTCTGGCTTTCTCTCATCAGGAAGCAGTTTCAAAAGATGGAAAAATAAAACTATTAGTGATATGAAACAATTTTATATGAGTTTGGACTAAAAAATTTATCTTTTGTCAGTAAGGAAGAAAATTAGGAAAGGATAGAATCTGAGGCCAGTTTAGCATGATGTCATGGGTAGGGTAGGTGTGCTCCTGTTCACCAAAATAGCATCCAAAACTAGGAGGTACCTTTTCAGCCCATTTTGTTACATTATCCTTACGTTTGTGAAAAGTCAATTTAAAGTTCTTTTGAACCCACTTAAACTCCTAAGCTATTTTATGAGTGTAATATTAATCTTCAGTCATTTCTGCAGTGTCAACCTTGAGATAGATTGAACCACTGGATTTTTCTGAGTGGTCATCTGTCAGAGTGTAGCTTAAACAACAACAAATACCATTTCTCAAGAATAGTCACACAATATCATATACCCTTAGATAATACCTCTCAAATCCTATCAAATCTCAAAAGTTTATATGTAATAAGAACATGATATAACCCATTCAGCCATTGGTCTTGTCTGTAATGCGAAGGTTGTTGGAAGGTGGTTCTTTTGTCTTTACTTCATAAATTGTGTTAATTCTTGACACTCGAGGGTGAATTTGCCAAATGAACTTTTATCTGTTCTTTTCCCAACAGGGTAAATCATCTCATTTTAGTGGAGCCTTGGGGTTTCCCTGAGCGACCGGACCTTGCTGATCAAGACAGACCAATTCCAGTCTGGATCAGAGCCCTGGGAGCAGTATTGACTCCCTTTAACCCTTTAGCTGGCCTCAGGATTGCAGGACCCTTTGGTGAGTGCTTAGATCTGTACCCTAGGAAAGCAGAATGTTTATAGATGAGCAGTAAAGACGTATTTATTGATTACCATTGTTAGTCAACATCTTAAAAACAAAGAGAAAAACTGAACCTTTTTCTCCTCTAAAAAGTATCAGTCCATGCATAAAGATGAATGAAACCAGATTCTTCTCCTCAATGAGGAGTCTTTATAGTGTCAACGCTATAGGTAATTAGCAAAGCCAAGAACGTGGAAAATGCTGAGGGTGAGGTCAGTAAGCCCAGGGACTGGGGGTGGAGGGGAAGTGCTATGTGGATCTGTTGGTGGGCATTAGATTAGAGAGCACTTGTCAGGCTGATGATATCCAGCTGCAGAGAAGATACCCAGCTGCAGAGATCATATCCAGCTGCAGAGATCATGTCCAGCTGCAGAGATCATGTCCAGTTACAGAAATCATGTCCAGCTGTAGAGACCATGTCCAGCTGCAGAGATCATATCCAGCTGCAGAAATCATGTCCAGCTGCAGAGAAGATATCCAGCTGCAGAGATCATGTCCAGCTGTAGAGATCATGTCCAGCTGTAGAGAAGATAACCAGCTGCAGAGATCATGTCCAGCTGCAGAGATCATGTCCAGTTGTAGAGATAATGTCCAGCTGTAGAGATCATGTCCAGCTTCAGAGATCATGTCCAGCTGCAGAGATCATGTCCAGCTGCAGAGAAGATAACCAGCTACAGAGATCATGTCCAGCTGTAGATTTCGAAGCCTGACTTGATCTACCATGGAGATGATTCACAGATTCTTTTCTCGTCTGGTAATGTCAGAGGGTTAAACCAGCTGCAGAGACCATGTCCAGCTGCAGAGATCATAGCCAGTTACAGAGATCATGTCCAGCTGCAGAGATCATATCCAGCTGCAGAGATCATGTCCAGCTGCAGAGATCATGTCCAGTTGTAGAGATCATGTCCAGCTGCAGAGATCATGTCCAGCTGCAGAGAAGATAACCAGCTGCAAAGATCATGTCCAACTGCAGAGATCATGTCCAGCTGCAGAGATCATGTCCAGCTGCAGAGAAGATAACCAGCTACAGAGATCATGTTGAAGCCTGACTTGATCTACCATGGAGATGACTTAACAGATTCTTTTCTCGTCTGGTAATGTCAGAGGGTTAAAATAAAGAAGTTCTTTTCTGCAAAGATTTTGGGAACTCTTGTTTTGTGTTTCCAGTCATATTTTGAGGTACCAGTGCTTAGTCTTTGATTTAAATTCATTTGACTCTCAGCTCCTCTGTTTTAGTCTCAAAGCCAAGGGAGTTTCCTTCCTTTTTGTCACAGATGGTGAACGTCTGGACCTCCTCTGAACTACCTAAGAGTCTGTGTAGTAAATGGTTTTGACTTGATCAGAGTCACACAAGTAGCAGTTATGGGAAAAATAAAGTATGAAAAGAAATTAGGAGACAACGGTGGAGGACGGATGCCTCCTATTTATGCTTGCACGTGAAGGTGGTGGTGATGATGGGGAGTAATGTAGACTATTAACTACACCATACACATTCTTTATGGAGCTGCATAGTTCCTTCAGAAATAGGAAGGAATGTCACTAAAGAACTAAGACCTTGTTAGAATAATAGGCAGTGATAGCAGAAAGGGAAACTGGTTAGTCCAGAAATCTGGGGCCCAGAAATATGATGGCTCCTGCTCTTTATCTTCTTTCCTTTGGGGGCCTTGTCCCTGCTCTCCCCTCGGGGCCATAGGACCACTGTGGATGCCTTAGCAGGGAGTATTGCTAGTGTCCCAAGCAGAAACCCTGAATTTATTTTTTCACAGAAATATATATATCTTGGAAGAATATAAATTAATTTTATGTATGAATTGCTCTATTCATCTGCCATGTTTAATAGAATTCATTTTTCTACAAAAACAAGTATTAGAAAATGATCATATGTTTTTGAAGAACATCTGTAAGTCACTATGGGACACTTTAATTCTTACTTTGAGCTCTCCTTAGGGAACTTGAGGAAAGCAGCTTCTAGGATATGTGTTTCTTTCCACCTAAAATATACATTTGAATACATATGTTGTAAGCATATAAGCAAACACTGAAACTTTCTGTATTAATCTATAAATCAATTATAATTTAAAACACTGATAATTTAAAACATTCATTTTCTATTAAATAGGTTTAAGTCTAGTACAGCGTTTAAGGCCTGATTTTAAACGCAAGTATTCTTCAATGTTTGAAGATGAGACTGTGACAGAATACATCTACCACTGTAATGTCCAGACTCCAAGGTAAGGCTTATCATTCTAAATATACTGTGTTCATAGTTTAGACTTTTCTCTTTTGAAAATATGTGAATAGTCTAGGACCATGGTTGGCAAACCGTGGCTCGCGAGCCACATGCGGCTCTTTGGCCCCTTGAGTGTGGCTCTTCCACAAAATACCACGTGGGGGCGTGCACGTACAGTGCGACTGAAACTTCGCGGCCCATGCGCAGAAGTCAGTATTTTGTGGAAGAGCCACACTCAAGGGGCCAAAGAGCCGCATGTGGCTCGCGAGCTGCGGTTTGCCAAGCTGCAGTTTGTTGACCACTGGTCTAGGAGATGTTATCAGTAGTTAAATGACTAATTCTTAAATTACTCATCTATTCTTGGAGCACTTTTTGTGTACTGGATTATGATAGGAATCTAAAAAGCAAGACCTATTTTCTTCCCCTAAAATGCTGATGGATCACTTGAGGAAGTCTTGGTCTCAGGCATCTTAAAGAGATCATCAGAGTTGAGAGATAAGAAGACTTCATATAAAACAGCATTCCCAAACTGAATAGGAATGTTCTCCCTAAAAAAGGAGTGCTGGATTAAACAAACCTAAATGGTTTTCTCTATCATGGATCTTCTTAGGACCTTTTACTCTGCTAAGAGTAATAAATCTCCCAAGTGCAGGGGAGATGCTATGCAGCATTTTTCAAGTTCATTTGATGATTGCACCTCTCGTTACTAAGCAGCTCTTAATGTTTGCAGTGGGCATGGAGTAAGTAAAGGGTGGGGGTAGGAGAAGAGAGATCCTGCATGTATTTTGACAGTAATTACAAGGAGAGAGAGAGAGAGAGAGAGAGAGAGAGAGAGAGAGAGAGGAGAGAGAGAGAGAGAAAGAGAGAAAGAGAATGAGAATAGTATCCAGAGGGAGCAAGAAGGCCAAACACGGGTTTCTTATTTAAAAAAAAAAAAAGACTTAAAAAAAATATGGATAGTGTGTGCAAGGAACCAGTGGAGAAAACACCGCTCGAAGATGGTGGGGAGCTAGAAGGAGCCCGAAAGACAAGACCCTAGAGTTGGTAGGTTGAGGATCAAGAAGGGAGTAGGAAGGTGAGTGCTCCGGTTCTCATGCTTCTGTGTGTACCAGAATTATTGGAGCTTGTCAAAATGTGATTCCCAGAGTCAGGCTTAGCAGTTCTGGGCTGCATCTTTAACAGATGCTTCTAATGCAGTTAGGCCATGGCCCACACTTTAAAACATAGAAGTGGTACCTCATCTTATCTAAGATGGAGACTTGAGTGAAAGGCTGAGAGGCTAGATGCAGAGACAGTCTCCCTCACTTTTCTCCTCCCTAACTTTTGACAGCGAATATGTATACCTACTTCATTAAAGATTGAGGCCATGGTAGGTATTGAAGTGTGGCTGTGGCCTCCGTCTTTAACAAAGTAGGTTAGAAGGAGGCTGCAGAGGTTTGGGGTCCTCAAGAGATTGTTTTGTGACTCAGGCAATCGGATCTGGTGGATTAGGTCTCCACACTTTATTGACTTGGTCCTACAGTTTTGAGTGGTCTATCCCAGATACATCATGTGTTTTCCTAAACGGTCTTAGTGTTTTATTCTTCACTTATATTTCATGATTACTTGTGCCTGTGTAGCCTTTCTTACGGTGGAACTTAAAGTCTTCATAAAAGGCAATTCAGAATTATGCCCAGTACTGTAAGGGAAGCAGAAATGACAGCAAAACGGGTCTATCCTGGGAGTTCACAAAGTGTTGTATTGGTCACTCAGATAGCCATGGCTACAAGAGAAGAAGCAGGAAAGACTCAAGAGAACAGTTCATTATATTCACAGGTCCCAAGGGATCACAGAAAGGCCAGGTTTTGGACAGGAGACAGAAGACAGGAGCAAAGGGAAAGTCTAGGTCAGAGTCTTTATGGGGTCTTCCGAAAAGGCACACAGCAGGCAGGTTAGCATTTGGGACTGGCCAGTGGAGTAATTTCGGTAGGCTCGAAGAATGGGGATAGTCTCTGGTTGCCCGGCACCTGGTCCTGAGATGAGTAAGGCAGAGAAACATTGCCTCCTAGAATGTCGGGGCCAACAGAAGAGGCAGGATTCTGCACTAGTTCATTTGCATATCAAAGGCATGTTTCCTGTGGAGTCCTTTGTCACCTCTAAGAAATGGCTAGTTCCTGGAGTCACATTCTCTCAGCCAAAAAGGTTTTAAGATGTCACATGTCATAATATGCAGAAAGTTAAAAATATAAACAATACACAGAACATGCTTAATTTTAATTTCTTCTTATCTTGGTATAGGCTTTGCCATTGCCTGTGAAAAGCTAGTGCTATGAACCTGTGGAAAAGCTGTCTTCTACATCTGAAATAAGTTAGAGTGAAAAAAATACATTTTAACTATCCCCATAGGAAATGTAATCATTTAATGACATGGAGTTAGGGCTGCAAGTTTTGATTTGGCTTTATTTAATTAACTAGAGTTTGGACATCCATGTTTATCTAACAAAGCACATATCTTCTGCAGGTTGTGTACAGAGGTATAAATCTTCTGTGGGGTTGTTCCTTACAGTTTCTACTAAATTGATTTCTGTTTAAGCTGAGGTTTTTCTTAAGTGGGAAGAAGCTTAATGTGAGTCTGTTTTGATACATGCTCCTCCTCAGAAGTCATCCATGCGATTTTCTTCTTTTTCTTAAAGTGGTGAGACAGCATTCAGAAATATGACTATTCCTTATGGATGGGCAAAAAGGCCAATGCTCCAGCGAATCGGCAAAATGGACCCTGACATTCCAGTCTCGGTGATCTACGGTGCGCGGTCCTGCATAGACGGCAATTCTGGCACCAGCATCCAGTCCTTACGACCACATTCATACGTGAAGACAATAGTAAGTGGGTGGGTTTTGGGGTTTTCGGTCGTAGGTGAGATCTGTCCTAATCTTTGCCTTCAGTGAGATTTCAGGCCACCTGAGCTGTGCACTGCAGCCTCGGTCTGAGATCTGGGATCACTTGTGATGGGGGTAGGATTGGACCCACACTAGTCTTCATGTCTAGGCGGTGATTTGCCTTTCTTAAGGGCCTTGCCCGTCCTTAGAGCCGCAGTGTTTTTGAGGTGGGAGAGACTGGAAGCAGGGTAGGTCAGTAGCACCTTGGCCAATTCCCACCTCACAAAGCAGCACATTCTCACTTTGTTCAGTTTATCTGCTGGCCCTTTTTGGGGGTAGGATTGGACCCACACTAGTCTTCATGTCTAGGCGGTGATTTGCCTTTCTTAAGGGCCTTGCCCGTCCTTAGAGCCGCAGTGTTTTTGAGGTGGGAGAGACTGGAAGCAGGGTAGGTCAGTAGCACCTTGGCCAATTCCCACCTCACAAAGCAGCACATTCTCACTTTGTTCAGTTTATCTGCTGGCCCTGTCTTAGTGGTCAATTTGGAATGGTTTGTTTGTTTATTTTTTTGCATGTTAAAATTTTAATGAAGCTCAATAGATTTTTTTCTCTTTATTCTATCAGATTATTTATTTGATAGAAATATCCACAGTGAGGCAAAAGTAGGTTTACAGTTGTGAGTACATGAAACAGAGTTGATTCTTGTATTGTTATTTACTATTAATTGTATTATTTTCCATATGAATAACTAACTGTAAACCTACTTTTTCCCCATCCTATATAGTAGCTAGTTGCCACAGAACAGTGTTGTCTATTTTTCTTTTTCATAAAAAGCAAGTTGTTCACTTTATTACAGTTTAGTGCTTTCATAAAATAAATATAGACTATCAAACAGACAGTGAGGGACAGCATGCTGTGCAAAGCGTGTACCAGAGTTCATGGGGCCTCCCACTGCGCTCGGGCGGAGCCGCCAGGTGGCTGCGCGCACACACACGATGCGACCAGCAGCCCCTGGGAGTTGGGGAGACACCTTCAGGGTTTGTACCATTTCCCCTACCCCCTCTCCACCTACAACTATGGGACAGTCACACTCATCTGACGTCGTCATTATGTGATGTGAAGAGAAACCAGAGTATTACTCTTCTTTTTTTTAATTGATTTCACAGAGGGAGAGGGAGAGAGAGATAGAAACATCAATGATGAGAGAGAATCATTGATCAGCTGCCTCCTGCACACCCCACACGGGGGATCAAGCCCTATGTCTTATTTACATATAACTGTTCTCACTTTCATTGATAAGTGTCTTTGCTTATGTCATTGCTTTAGTAAATCTGTTTCCTCACTGACCACCTGCTTTTCCTTTCCCAGGCCATCCTTGGGGCAGGGCATTATGTGTATGCAGATCAACCTGACGATTTCAACCACAAGGTGAAGGAGATCTGTGACACTGTGGACTGAGCACCTGGGTGGTGGGGGAAGCCTGCTGACTGATACAGCTCCTCAGCCACAGTCAGTCCACGGTGAAGAGTAAGGAACACAACAGAACTAGGCAGTCTTCTTGACTGCACTTTGCACCTGTTTTCTCTGTGAAGCTGCTTGCACACTTAAACCAGTTAGTGCCTTCTAGAAGAATGCCTTTCTTTCTCCCTCACAAAGCCAAAATATACAAGAGCTTCCGAATCTAATAGCTTTAATAAAAGGTTGGTTGTCACTCTGCTGTACTGAGAAATGGTAATTTTTTCAACTGAAATTTTTTTCATTTCTGTCTAACTTTGCTATGTCAGGCACTTTTTATATTTCAATCTACATTGCTTATTTTAAAAAGTGATTTCTGTATCTATGTTTTATATACTGTAAAGGTGCACTTTATTTTCTTTGCTTGTATTTGCCATGTCTAATAACTGATATATAATGCATCAAAATTCAATGTGTTTTTATGTAAAAATGCGTCACCTTCTTAGAATACTTCACTTTTGAAATGGAGTGATAAGATAGCATTTTGGGTAAAAAGATAGGAATTGATCACTAGCATTAATTTTTCTGATTTTCCTCTGTACTCTAAGGCTGCAAAGCCATGGTCAGCATTTTAAATGTGATCCATCCTGACATATCTACAACAGTGTAACTCCTGGGGATCTCCTATGTGTGATGCAATTCTCCACTTCCAGCAAAACTCAACAGTAATACTTAGGTGATCCAAGTACTGAAAAGCCTTAACAAAGTCTATCCTTCTTCCTCACATTAATATTGGTCTTTTCTGTGAGCCAGGATGCAGCAAAGGGAACAGATTTCCTCACTGAGGGATAGTAGGACTGTTACCTTCCAGTAAGCCAAATCGTATATTTTCATTAACATCTAATCTTGTAGATTGGTGCTAAAACTGGATTATATTTTTACCACTAAATATAAAAATAGATAGTGCTGTTACATCTCATGGCACCAGAGATGAGCTAGCACTTGGGTTTGTTTGGTGTGTTTTTTGTGTGTTTTTTTTTTAAAGTTTTGTGTTAATTTACATGCTTGAATTTATACTAAAATTCTGTAAGGTTGATTGAACTATTTAACAACTGCCATCGAATGTAGTACTTTTTTGCTGTTTTAAAATGAGGAGAACCTCTGAGACTGTGAAAAAGCTCCATGTGGTAACTGGCTACTGAGAAGACCCTTTGAAGAAGAAAACAGCAGGATTGGCACGGACAGGGCATTTCTGACTCAGGTTTTGCTAATGTTCTTGTCTAGCAGAAAGGTGGTTATGGAAATAAAAACAGTAACCTAGAGCAAATGATGGTTTTATGTTTTTGACTGTTGCATTTTTTAAATGGTTAATTAGGAAATTTCTGGTTGGTAGAAGTAAGGTTGTATCACTTGTTGATTAACTGCCAAAAAGACTGAATGTTCTGTTTTCAACATTATTTTCCCTACAAAAGAATAGGCAACATATACAGATTACACTGAAGCAAAACAGATAGGTTCCCAATGAATTTGTCTCATTTGTCAGATTAAGTAGGTTAGTGCCAAAGGTAAGAGCCAAGACATGTCCGATTTCTCTACCATTAGAACCAGCATAGCCTTTACTTTTTCGTTAGTAGTTTAGATGGCCAGATTCAAGCATATGTGGTACAAATAATTTGAGTGATGTTTTTGTATTTTTGTTTGACAGACTCTCCATCTCCCTTATTCATTCTTTGCTGGACAGATGCAGGTTTCTGTGCAGGAAGTCTGGTCGCAGCCCTCCGGGGGCGGGGAGGAGGGGAGGTGAGAGGGGACAGTTTCTAGGTTCACTTAGTAAATGGGGTTTCAGCCACGAATGGGCTAAGTGGTTCAGGAAAAGATGTACCCAGTTGTCAAGTGGAAGTTATTTTCCTACTGACTGATTTTGCTTTATTTGAAAAATGTTGTCATAATTCTTATTGAAAGTTAAATTTTACCTTGGGCTATAGGATATGTAATTCTGTGAAGATTGAGCTAGCAGAGAAAATCAACAGTCCTCAAATTTCTAAACATACAGTGATTGCTAAATGTTTTTTAAAATCAATCACGGGATGTGATCTTTGCTAATTTATGCATAATGTACTCCAATGTTATTTTACAGAATAAATTTTACTGTGATAGTCACAACAAGACAACTGCTGTACATGTTCTTGAGTTTTCAGTATGGCCTGGTGTATTTACCACCCATTACTATAGGACCTTGGATCCAGTGAGTGTTCAGAACGCTAGGCATTCTGAGGGAAGGCGCAGTGCTGTGCCCTCCACACGTGGCCCCCGTGTTCACACATCCCTTCGTATAATTTCTGTTTTCTTCTAAAATTAATTTTTTAAAAAAGTTTGTCTAGAATTGGTTTCAGAATATTACCTAGAAAACACTTTTGAAATGTCTTCACATATGTATTTTATATATTTATGTTTATATTTGAAGGGCACATTAGCTCCAATAAAACAAGAATTTTTCTCCCTGTATAAAGGTATTAGAAAAAACAAACAATTGCCAGGAGAGGCAATTGTTTTTAGCAATGATATTGGTGGTGTCATTTAAAACTGTGTTTATATATGATAAAGCAAATATTATGTCCATGGAATTCAGAGCCAAGATTTTTAGCACAAGAAAAAATACAACATTAAAGTCAAATAAAAATCCCATTGTCATATATTTCAATTGGAAATACCAGTAAAATACTGTGATCTATTTTTCTCTTTGTGAAAGACACATATGGCATAGCTTTGTCCATTGAAAAGGCCTAGAAGCAAGCACAACCCGGAAGTAAGGCCCCCCTAGCACCCAGCCTCTCCCACTAGACGGGGCAGGGAAATGACAACATGAGGCTGGACCATCTTGTGGCAGAAAGCAGGGAAGCAATCAGTAAGGTCATGTCAAGAGGACCCAGGAGCCAACTGGAAGGGACTCCCATCTACCGAAGATGGACTAGTTCGGACAAAAAGAACAGTGGGCTGAAGCATGAAATACGTAACAATCTGAGGTCATAATGATAGTTGAAAAAAAAAAAGTCACCTTTGGAGGTTACTAGGGCACCCACCAATCCATTATTTTGAAAAATTCTAACTGGAAGATTGAGACATTTACTCTGACTTCTTTATGTGTCAGGTCAACCTGATTAGGGAAAGTTCTTCACTCGGAAATCAGCTAAGTTTCAGAAATGATAGGGTTAAGAAAACACCATTGTGTCACTTCTAGTGAAATAATGGATCTAGGCTGCTGAAGGTATTAGGTGGAAAGTTGATGGAAAATGTTTTATTGCATGGCTCAAGTTGACAACATCTGTGATCAATATCAGCATTACTGAAAAGGGAACAATCAGAATACCCAAGCCTACTGATCCCTTATTAAACATCGCATTCATTTTGACAGAGGGGTCCCTTGGCTGCCAGATGTGAAGGCTGAGACTTCTAATTCAGACTCGCCTCATTGTATGACTGCACATTTGCCGTGGAGACAGGTAAGAAAAGCTAAATGACGGGGCCCGTTTCCTTCTTGCTAACAGCGGAGACTTAGTCACAATGACCCGGGTGGGGCAGGAGTGCATTACAAACACTACTGCTTTGTCCTGTACTTTAAGAGCTGTTTCCTACTTCTTACCTATGAATGCTTTTATAATTGGAAGTGACAGCAATAGAAACAATTCACTGTTGAGACCAAGATACCAGACTCGCGTGACTGGTATTTCACCTTCCTGTGCCAACCAGCTTGCTGTATGTCTGCTGATTCGTGAAACCCTAGCAGACCTTTTAACATCTACCTATTCAAGACTTGAAAATGCTGCTTTCCAAGGGATGGGTGGGGTACCATGGCCAGAGGAAGATGGCAGAGGGAGGCCTTGTGCCAACCTGCAGGAGATGGCTGTCTGGTCTCCCTACGGCCTCCTCCAGTAGCAGACAGTTTTCAGTGATAATCTTGAGTGAATCTTCTCTGTGCCTCTGGATGACCTTGCAGCCTCACGTGGCCAGCACCACAGACGCAGGCAGCCAGACAGACGCTGTACACTGAAGCGCAGCCTGTTTCGGCAAAATGGGAGCGTGAGATGGGGACTGTGCCAACTCTCAGAGCAGCAGGCCTCGGACCCTAGTTGCCTGAGTCATTGAGGCCACCTGTCACAACCGCAGGGTCGAGGCACTACACCAATACATCTGATGCTGCCCATCTGTGGGCCGGCAAGGCCTAGGACTCTACATTCCCTGCCCAATGCGTCTGACATAGGACGTCAATTATTTGCTTGGTTTATCAGGCAGTTACTTTGGTTGGACTCAAGCTACAAATACTGTTTCTTGGTGGCAGCGGAAATCTCGTTTTGGTTATTTAATCCTCAGTTAGCGTCTGCCCCATACGGACAGTCAGAAATGTGGGCAGAAATTCTGTCCAGACTTGGAGGCTCCCCTCCCTGGCGCTCTCCTTTCCAGACTCGCCTTCATTTTTGCAATAGCTGCGCTTGCCCAGAAAGACTGCTGGTCTTCCCCTTCCTACCTGGTGGCCTTCTCTCAAGCTAAGAGCTCTGAAGATGCTGTTCTTCTGTCCTGTGTCAAGTGCCTTCCTGAGTCAGCTGCTTTTATTCGTTCTCTAGCGCGCTTTCAGGTTGTTTCTTGATAGTGTCCCTTTTATGATTGTTACCAGTGGGTGGGTTGGTCCTCAGCTTTTCTGGAAATGGAACCCCTGGGCCAGACTTCAAGATCAGTGTTTCCCAGTGTTCTTTGTGTACAAGCTTGAGACTTGGCTAGGTAGAGGCTTGTCTTGCTCAAAGACACGCTTGCGTCTTATTTCTGTACTTTCACTTGACTTACCACCAGCCAGCTGTGGCCACATGTAGCAATCTCTGGATATTTCACTTCCCTGCAGAAATTTAGACAGGAATTAGCCAATGCAGGACGTGCGGTGTGGTATTTGCGTTGCTTTTAGAGCATGAGGCCCCCAACGTAGCTGAGATGAAAACCATACATAGTATGCAGTCAATACCATATTTGGAAAGCCTTTCTGTTTGTCTGCAAAGCTGGTTCTCTTTAAGCCCTTCTATCTTTAGCTTTTGCTGGCCTCACAGGCCTTTGCCCTGCCCACCAGTGGCCCCAGAAGCTTGCAACATTCATTTTGTTGGTCCCTGATTCCTGAGGCCTCTGCCCTCCCTGGAATTGTATTTCTCATACAATTGGAGCCATGCTGGTTCATTGTAATCTAATAGCCCTCTTGCTGTCAATTTTGACTAAGCTGAATGCTTAAATTCTTGAGAAATGCCTAAGTCTCAATAAATCAGGAAGGTTCCAACAACTTCAGATAGTAAAGCACCGCAATATTCTACATTACTCAGAACCCATGGCACCAGCGATAGGATATGATTAGTGGTGTTTTATTAGTCTGGAAATCAGCAAAAATCTTGAGGGAGGAAGGCTTTTAAATTTGTGTGTTGCTGATGGATATTATTCATGAGTCCCTAAAACTGACCCATAAAAATCCCTGAAACGTGATGTTCCTGATACATTTCCCCCTATCTCCACTCTACAATGCTAATAAGGAAGGAATTTAGAAACAATCAGCTGATACTATTAAGGGGGTTATTTACTACACTGAGACTGAGGAAGTGGGACCTAGAATTCTGAGAAGCACAGTCCTGTGACCTGTGAATTGGCTCTCTGACATTTTCCTCATCATCCATTAATCTTTGTCCTGTAGGGACAGCAGCCAGCCATTAAGTACTAGTAAGCAGGTGACACACACACACACACATACTATTGAGCAACCTCCACTATCAAAGACATAGTTGAGCGCCAAGGAAGAGGAATGAGGCCTGAGCACCCCAAATGGACACCACCAAGCCTTGCACATAAAGTCCTGGATGGAGGAAGTCGCAGCAACTCTCCCTGGGCATTCAAGCAGCTGCCATTCTCAGGGCACTTCCAAATACCAGTTTTTAACCTGCAGGGTGGCTTCGAATTCCTAACCTGCTGGCTGGGGGAGAGACCAAGCAGCCAGAAGCAGCAAAGAATAAGCTGGTTCGTTTAAAAATCGCTTTTTCAAGTTTTCATGGCAACTCACCATAACGGCCTTGGACAGAGCTCCCAAGAGACCCACTTGGGAAAAACAGTAGGTGCCCTCCCTGATAGTGACGAGTTTAAAGAATGCACAACTGCAGTGAGCGATGCACAACCTCGAGGTGATGTTGGCAGAGAATATACAATTGGGAACCGGGTGAGTTTGAAGAATGGAAAGGTTATCTCAGATACCTGAAGAAAGATGGTGTCCTGTGGATGAAGACAGAAAGCACAGCCCTTTTACCAAAGGGG